CCGAAGAACATCTGGCTAAATAAGAGCCATCAAAACTTTTACGATTGAACTAGTTGTAGACTCTTCGCAAAAAATGCTCTCAAGGTTTACTATAACTAATGCTATTTACGGTAACCCCTATTCAAGTGATTAATTACCCAATGCATCAATACGAAATCGTTAGGCCTTTTTTTTAAAATAGACAGCTGAAAGGCATTAGAAACTTACTTATATACGCCAACCTCTTCGGGCGTCCAACAGAACGGTGCACCCATTAGATAGAGAAAGGAGAACTGGTTGTCCGACAACACGACAAGCATGTACAGGAACATAACAATGGTTACCAACAGTGTGGAAGGGTGTTTTGATCGGAAAAGCTGGAAAAGGATACGGCAAAATGGATACATACACCACAGCTACAGTCATGTTAATGGAGAGGTGGTTGGAGGAGAATGCTACCTAGTAAAATCAATGAAGAGGATGAAGTCGGCAGTAAGATCCGAGGGTCCAAACAGTTGGCTTTTGGGGGTTGAACTGCTCGCCGAGCTTGTCGATTGGCTTACGTGTCACCACGCGAGGAAACAGAATCAGGATAGGTGAGTGGTTCCTCCCCTTCTGCTTGCGTTTATATTGAAACCATATCAAATAGAAAGACACGAATCAGAAAATCAGCCCCAACAAAAGGACTGGTGAACAGATCAGTCAGATTGACCAGAGGAAACTAATAAAATAGGTGCCCAATCAAGTAACCAGATACAGAAGAAAGATAAAATAGACTTGTCGAGACTACTGAAATGGAGGTACCCAAAAGAATAACCAGATGCAAGATAACCGGACCAAAACGCAACAGAAATCCCAAACAGAGCGACCAAATTATGCAGCTAGATCAAAAACCACTAATCACCTTGCCGATTATTAACAGCTCCATGAAAATTATATAAACATAAGCAGAAGTTAAAGAATCACCCATACAAACGCGCATTGACAGACGATATTTTCTCGCGTGGTAACGAAACGTTTGCAAGACAACTGGCAAGTTCGGTGAACAGATCAACCTTCACCTGATCAACAAACAATAAGCTCACATGAGTTATAAAGAAAACTACTCACAAGGTTGCTGAAAACTCTTCGACCTTGTGAGTGGTTTCCTCAATGGAAATATACTGCGATATTTCGAATATCGTGCCAACTGAATCATGAGGCAGCCTGTGTGCAGCACATTCAGCTGGAGGACATAATAAACGAGAGATTCAATTGAGTCTTCCGTGAAAACCAAATTGATTTGCAAATGAGTGTATTTCTCACATGAGTTACCAATATTTTGGCACACTGGTTCAAACAGTTCGAGCAAAATTATTCCCCTTCCATGACGACCACGCCCCCTCTCTTAGGAATCGATCATCATAAGCCATGTAAGAAAATGGAGCCAGAAAACTTAGACTGAAGTAGACAGTTCAACGCAAACTGGCCTGAACTGTTAGTGGTGGTAAACTGTGAAGGGCCAGCAGGGTAGAAATCGGGTATGGAAGGTTGGAATGAAATTTCAGGTGTGAGAGCATACAGAGACTCAACTGTTGGCTACACAGAAGTCATAAACTCGTGAAGGCTAGAAAAAGAGGAGAAATTCATCATCCACAATGGAGACAAGCTAGAATCAGGTGTTTCGAATTAGTTCATCGAGTGTTCCTGGTAGGCGGGACAGGGTGGTGTAAAACAGGTGGTACACATGGGGTTCGGCATGGTGAACTTCACTGTGCTCCGACCAGCGGCGTCGCAGAATAAAATATGTCACAGCATAATTAGAGCTGATGTGGATGAGAACTTAAAGCGTATGTCGATAGGACAAACGTAGTGCCACACTTAGCATCAGACCGATGAGCTTAAGCTGTGACGATTCAAGATACAGGTTGAGCCGGCTGATCCGCAGCTGCATAATGCGAGAAGTAAAGTGAGAGAGCTGAGATCTCCATCCGCCCATTCGAAATTGTTGGTACCCACTGCAGCCCTATAACAGGCTTTTCAGAGTAGGGGTCAGAAGTGTGCACCCAAACTTTTCAGCAAGCAAGATAAGGCTCGTTGAACAGTGAATTGTTTCAAAGACGGACGTTTGCCTATGCTATGGATGACAAAATATCCCTAATAAAGGAATTAGAGTGAGACTGCTCAATAGATGGTGGCTAGTCTGTTCGTCAAGCCTGGCAGTTGATTTGGCCAGGAAAACGGTTGGCATGACAGTGATAAGGTAAATGCTGAGAAAAATCGCCACACTATCTCCCCATAAATCAAGGTTTTTGGAAAGAATAGATGAGGCGACAGTTCGAATTATTTTTTTTAATTTTGAAGTGTCATGAAACTACAAGTGGTAGTGAAAGTTACTTCCAGCATTGATTGACCTAGATGGGGGGAGTGTTGGAGCTTACATTCGGTCTAATTCCCTCCCTATATGGGATGGAAAGTCTCCAAACGCCGGTGTTCAAATAGCCTGTGACGAAAACCTTGTCCATCTGGAATATACAGACGATATGGTGTTTACTTTCAAAGAAGGGAAGAAGGCGCAAGTGTTTTTGGATGGACTGACCAGTTATCCCGTCCTCTGACATGCAATTAGCACCCACAAATTGCAGGATCACGCTCCTGGACATGCAGTTACTGAACACGCCACCTGAAATCCAGGGAGAAATACTGGAAGTTGTGGAGCGTTTTACGTATCTTGGAAGCTGTATTAGTTCTGATTGTAGTGTGACAGATGGGGTCAATGCGCAAATCTGCAAGGCCCCGGTCGCGCTTGCTAATTTGAGACATCTATGGCGTCAAAGGGGTATATCCCTGAATCTCAAGGGACGTACGTATCAGGTTAGTGGGGGCTGTTTTGTTCCGTGGCTGTGAGATTTGGCCTGTTCGAGCAGCGGAACTGAGATGTCTTCAGGTGTTCGAAAATCGTTGTCTCAGAACCATAACTCGTGTGGATTAGTGTCGGCGAATTCGTGACGAGGCAATCAGGAAGTGAGTTTTCGGTTGTGCAACGTGTACCTCCATTGAAGAATGTATCTGGAACCAGAAGCTGCGTTTGTTAGGACATGTGCTGCGTATACCGAACCATCGTTCGCCGAAAAGTGCTGTTTTCCATGCCCAACTCAGAGTGGCGTAAGCAGAGAGGTGGCCAACCCTTGAATTGGCAGGGGGGTATGAAGGAGATTACGAAGCGCTTGGGTGCTGTTGGTGCTATTCGCCTTTCAGGATGGGGACCGCGTGGTCCCCACTGGGCCTGTTGAAACTCTGCAGCATATGGCTGTCAACCAATGTCAGTGGCGTTCTTGTTATCAGTTTCTATTCAGATTGCTCGAATGAGTAGTGTCTGAAGGCGTATGCATTTCGGAATGACTGTGATAAGCTAGCACTAAGTCCCTTTCCCGTCCACCTTTATTCTTTTCTTCACAATAAGGCTTTCAAGTAAACCATGGTTGTACGGCAGTGAAACATCGATGTTGAACACTAGTGTTATGCTGTCGATGATGATGACGCTATATGGGCCGAGATGATTCAGTGGTGAAGGTACGAACTTAGTGATCGGAAGTTCCGTGTTTCGAACGCAACCTCAGCATCCTAACTGCTCCTGTCTGGGCTTGGCCACCCTGAGAACATCTCAACCACCATACTTCCGATGGCATGGCAATTAGGCAGTAAACTACAGCCAAAATACGACCAAAGTACAACGCAGGAGTTTGGTGCATAGTCGATTATCATTAAAATGTGCGACACTGTCAGTGAATTAAATGATCAAAGGTTCAAGTCGAGTAACCGTGATAGGGGGTTTACGACAAGTAATTAAAACTCACCTGCAAAAAGCTCGGCAAACCGGAGGAGGTCGGAGTGACAGACTGCATAACGGAAGAGGAATCCGGACTATTGCAGGGGCTTAGACTGGTTGAATGGACGGTGAACGGACTGAGGGTGGATGGCTTCGTTTCGGGTAAAAATGGAATTAGGACAACCGGAATGCAGTACAGAAATAGAAGCCCAATCACTGAAGAGTTGAAACCACATCGTTGAATCACCGAACCTTTTTTGGGAGGGGGGAGAAGAGGTGGGAAATTTAATACAGGCCTTTCTCAAGTTTAAAAACTACTTTGGAGAATTGGGCAAATATATCACGCTGATCAGGTATCAGTGGTTTCCATGCTTCACTGCGAAGTCATAACCTAATCTCACCAAAACTGTTTCCATCCTTACGCCTGGTTATGCAAAAGACTCCTTGAAAAAGGTGATTCAGTGAGAAACGAAGAGTAAGAGTAGTAAGCTGCTCTGTTGACTCCTTTGATAAAGACGATCAAAGAGCAAGGCAATGGGGAAACGTGTTGTAACTTTTCTGTAAACTGGTGTGGGCCGGTCAATTGAGTAATTCAGTAAAAACGGTCTGATAGATAGTCTAGCGAAGACAGCCGAACACGTAGTGTTTATCCAACTCATTATCTTAACTGATAGCCGAATGGTTCATAAGGAGGCGGAGTACCAGATCGATGGGACAGATTTACTTAAATGCATCAAATAACTTGTCTGATCGCGAAACTCAATCCATTTCAATGAGTACAACCTAGGACCCGTCCACTTGACAGCCAAAATCCGTCGCAATGCTAAGTACCACGTGACTGACGAATTAGCACTGAATAGTCACTGTGCGGTCCAATTTCAGTAAGTCCGTTAACAGTCGTATTCAGTGCAACTTTGGAGAAATCTAATCAAGTCTCCTGTCTGCTTTGAAGGCCGAAACTGCAGCGAGGGACAATTGAAAGCTGGCTGAGATTTGAGTTGACGAGCTTGCTTCAAGAGCATACAAGTCCAATGCCGACGGGAAACCGCTAATCTCCCAACTGGTAACGTTCATACTGCTATTTACCCGTGGAGCCGGTGGTTCATCATTGATTCGCAAAGCTCTTAGGAATAAATAGATAAATAATTGTTTATCCGTAACGCTTTCGGTGCTCAGCTTCCACGCCACCCGATAGAAGCACGAGGGCTGAGAACTGCCAAACCCAAACACAAGCAATCGAGATGCCGAACTACGGACCTTCGGGACAGAAACCACTGAGCTATCTCGAGCCTGGGAATTTAGTCCGTGGATAACAATATTGCCCTAACGTGGATTCTGAAACGTTGGAAAGCTGGTACTGTTTAAAGTCATGAAGACAGCATTTAAAAAACATGAACTTACCAATAAGTCCAAACCCCAAAGCACTTGCTAACAGAAGCGTAGCATCAAGTATGCCGAGAAAAATCAACCGATTCCGCTCTAGCTGACCGCGATTGGTTTGTCCGGCCGCGGACTGTTTACTTACATCTTCAGCTTCCCGAGGGATCCTGGTCAGGTCAACGAAGCAGACAGTAGTCTGTGTGATGAGAGCAATGACGCCACCACCGAGAACACCACAGGTGACTGAACCAAAAATTATGACCGGTACGGGCAGGTGAAGCAAAACAACTAGCGCTGAAATAAACAAGAAAGGAAGGTAGGGTCTTCCTTCAGGGTAGTTTCCATTTAAATAACTCCTGTAAACAAATCAACATCTGAACACATCAATGTACACAATAATAAACTAGAAAAAGGTGAACGAGAATCAGCTTAAAAACCAGGAATCAAGTTCCGCTGCCGGCCTTGAACCTCAGTCGATCGTGTAATTTACTCGGCCTGCCAAATATGTCGAAAAGGCACCATTTGAAGGAATCCTTGGTCAACTGGGAAACAGTCTATGAATTCCTACGAGAAAGAACCACTGCACCAGCAAGAGCTTCGCAACTCCCAACCCCACTCTTTTGATCACTTGGTTATATGAATACTTGCAATAAAGTGCTTGAGAGAAAAAGACTTTTATCGGAATTTAAACATCATACCGTTGGGTTCTGTTAGATTTCAGACCCCAGAAAATCCAATCAGATGTGAAGCTAAGAATCATTTCAACTATATTGAATGTGCCGAGAACAGTCAGAACCAAACCAATGGACCAAATTGCGTCGGATTGACAGCCCACAACCAGTCTCCAGGTTTTTGTACTGTATTAAGTCTCATTTCATCAGTTCTTAGATTTCGATGTAATTAGCCGCTTTTGCAGATAAGCTATCGGCTTATCCGGCCGTGATGCATGCTCCTATTCACCACTTCCATGCACGTCCGCTCCGTCATCATTGGGACATAAAGAACACAGGGGCACAGCACACTACTGCGCTGTGAGCGCATAGACTTGTTTGACTTGTTCGCATGCTTGGAATATGCGATTTTGGCGTAAACTCGATATTGTCACCGAATCCGACCTCAATTACAGGTTAGGAGCAATCCAGAGGCACGAGACTGTTCGCTCCGTTCACTGCACAAAGCAATCGGTGATGAGTGTTAGGATACGTGGTTCCATTCAAAACGATGAGGATACGATTGGAAGACGACATACTGTCACATCAGGAAAACCGCCATAGTAGTACGAATGTCCCCGGTTCTGGCTCCGCGTATCAATTATCCTGAAAGAATGTCCCTGGTGAATGAGTTTGGAACCTGCTCTGGAGGCAAAATATTCTCACACCTGGTGCACAGTGTCTGTGGTTGACATGTGGAAATGGTCCATCGACCGCGGTAGAATAAAATTTTTCACGTCTATGTCGTTGAATAATTCATGAGCACGTACTGTGCCTGAGCAGCCTGTGGAACAGTCACACTGCGAAATTTTATTCTACCTTTGAACGTAGCTCTGCGGGACGAAGGCTGCACATTTTGGGTCAAAAAGGAATTCGTTCAAAAGACCTGAAAACCGGTTTCCTTATTTAAGGCTGTTTTTGGACTAAGCTGTGGAACTATTTATAAACCTGCCTGTGCCTTGAAAGTTGGTGAATTAGGTTCGATATTCAAAGTAGACATTTGACTTTGTTCTTCAGACTAAACCGCATCAATATGGAAGTAGGTTTCAGGCAACTTCCTGCGATGACACGAATAACGTATATACCACACTATTCTACCTGGGGAATAAAAGCGAGAGATTCGAGCCCAAATACAGCTTCCGAGGATTGCATAACTTTTTATATGGGTTACAGTTTTGTATCAATCGGTAGAGTCTACGTGTATAGTAGGTATCAATCGTGAATTCACACATTGTGACGCCGAAAGCATAATCCACAGTGCACAGACAAATATCTTATCTGGTTTCCATTAATCGAGAAAACTATGTCCGGCTGTCATTTGGTTCATTTTAATATAGTCCGGCGGTTTTCGTTAATTTTGAAATCAACCCTTAATCAAATACACTCGCTGAACCTCTCAAAAGTACCCTGAGCAACGCGCTTTCTCAGACATGGCCGGCTATCCATAGCCACCTGGTAAACGATCGTCCTGCCTCTATGCAGAAGCTAACACTGGGACTGCTCATCATCATGGAAATCTGTCGAAAAATCCGAAAATTCAGCGCACAACACTTGGTCATGCTCATCACAGTGATGAAAACCTGTAGCGACCTCTGATCGAACACAAGGTGCTGTGACAAGATGTTACCCGTGAACTGTATGGTGGATCGTGAATCCATCAGGTCCGCGCTCACAATAAACTGTTGACGGCAATCCAACTGTTTGGTGTACAATTTCGTAAAGGGAATTTTCCTCGCTGCAATACTGTTAGGGAACATGAAATATGATTATATTGCCCCCTTGAAGGTGGAAGGTAATAAATGGGCGACTTAGCGAAGGTTCATATTCCCAGAAGAAACCTTGCGATAAAACCGTCACTTTGAAGTGACAACGGATCAACAACAGCCGATAGTTTTTGGAGCTTGACAAGAGGGTATTAGCTTCTTCAGCTACCTAACCTAGCACATCTAAGTCTGTCTTCAGTTTCCCACTTGGAAGACTTTTCACTGACAATCAATACTGCCCACTATTCCTCATTTTGCTGAGTTAAATGAGCAGAATCTGTCCCATGCTAATCTCTGTAAGACTTTCGAATTGTAATGCAAAACGTCCGAAATTTCAAATTCCTAATGCACACTCATTAAAAGGGTGACTGAATCACCGCAAAGGAGAATAAAATGTCACCAGTATTGTTTGGACCCAATGTGTGGTATGTGGGAAGAAAGCCTCCAATGAAGCAATGAAACCTTCGTGAATGAAGGAAGTATGACATAATGCGGAAAAGGACGAAGGTATTTTCAAACACTAGGTAAACATTTACAGAAAACATCTACAATCAATGTTATATCTAAAATGAAACAGTGAAGGTTCGTATGCCTATTACAGAATTGCCTTACTAAGTGCTAAACGCCTCAACAGGTGAGCCAAATACTTCGAACAACCGTTATCGTGGCCACCAGTTGCCACTCACCTGGAGCTCACGGTTGACAAAGAACACTGGAAGGTGAACGTGCAGCCCCCTACGGCCTCGGAGGTTTATGACTGTATATGTTCTCCCGAGTGCTTTTGGTCCGCATTGTTCGAAGATTGAGGTGAAGTCCTCAGTAAGCGCTTATCCGATCCGTTTGCATTAGGGAAAAGCAGACTGTCCCAATCAAGTGGACGCCCACTTTCAAAGAAGGGGCTCGTTGTGAGTCTGGTAACCACGGGGGGGGGCAGATTAACACAGGTTGTAGCGAGACTGCTGGCGTCACTTTTGCTTCGTCGCCTTATGGTGGACCATGGAACACTGATTCGAGTGTCGAGTGTAAACCAAATGGTTAATCAATGGTTAATCATTACTTCCGCTTTATGTTCTTTGTTAAGAGGCCGTTCCCAACGTATTTGAGATCCACCGAGTAAACCGCAAGCAAAATTTTTCAACAACACTTTGTGTCAATGATGTTGTCAACGCGATATACAAGTAGGCTGAATAGTCTGAGAACCACCAGTTTGACCCTCCATGCTGCCTCGAACTGCAAGCAAGCTCCAGTGGCATCGAATTCAGCGTAGTTGTCGTGTGCGTTGTTCTGAAGGGGTTTCGGGTAAGTACAAACTACAGAACAGTCAATACAAGCCTTGAACACTGGTGCTCGTTTGCAAACATTGTTTATCCATATTTATATCCATACCTAGATTAAGACTAATATTCTACAGTGATCACCAATGATCCCTCTGCAGAGTGGAACTACAAGTGGTCAGGCCCTCACGTCTTAACCACAAGCCGCTTTGCTGCAACTCAATAGGACTAACCTGTGACTCCATTAGTGACCGACTGGCCGAGCAAAATGAAACCGATAGTGGCGCGGCGACCGTATCGATCGGAGAGATGAGCCACCAGGATGAGTGCCAAAAGACCCAGGCCCATCCCTATCAAATTATTCACAGCAAGAAATTTAGCCGTCTTGGCCTGGACGCGCTCACGCAGAGATTGTAAATCATCAGCTTTTCTGTCTGTAGCAGACCTGCAGAAGAAACATGAAAATAACCACATGAACATTGTATTCAAATTCGAGTACCGGAGCTATACCAGACTTTCAAGAGACAGCCAGTCTAACTAACCTGGGTGACACGGAAGAAATATGTTGATAAACACGGATGTCAAAAATCAGGTAGGATTTCTATATTCGATTCAAATCTATGGCTTCGAGAGTTCCCTCTATATCCAGTAACAGTTTAAATTAGAAAAAAAAAGATTTCGTAGAAACCACCCAAATCAGTAGAACCACACTACTTTCGTTGTCTTGAGAAGAATAAGTGCTAGTGAGGAGGATGTGAAGTCCTGCAAATTGAGCAAGCCCTACATTATCAATAATCCAAAAGTATTTAGAGGCCAATATCTGATGTGCTTAGATCTGGAACGAGCTCATTCATACCACAACTGACTTGACCATTGCAACGATCCACAAGCAGTGTTAAATGTATATGTAGACACACTCTCAGGTCCTATTCACAGTCTCTGAAGTGTGGGCAGGAACCGATACCCACTCACTCTTCGCAATTCAACGTGTTGACAACTACTCCCCCTAGGTTAACGCATCACAGGCCAATAACACTGGTATTCACGGTCCAATCGCATAGTTGATTGTGTCCCTCTATTAAAGCTACAGCTCGCTCAGTTTCCATTCTATGGGTGGTGGACCCAAAAGAATTAGTTTATCCATCATTTCTGTCGTTCTCCTGAACTTCATTGAACAAAACTGTAGCAACTATGACTAACATAACTTTGTTATACGATTTACGAGTAGTGAACTGAGTTTCTTTTCAAGATCAATATTTGGGATGAAATGCAAAACAAGAACTTGTGTTAGAGGAGCACCTGTTGAGTCAAAGTACCGGGAAAGGGCGTCGATCGGTACATGGAATAACCATGAATGAAACGCCTGAAAAAATGATCCTACATTATCCCACCGAACTTATTCGGAAACAGAACATCGTTTACAGTTGCGGGTAGGCTATTCAAGCAATATCCTACTAGGATGCCAGGATGCATCGGTATCATTAAACCCGCCCCTTTCTGAAAGGAAGTACGTTCAGTAAACCCTCAAAATCATTGACAGCAATGTACCAGTAATAGGTACTGGCACTGAACCGTTACAAGCCTACAGAATTTAAGCCAGACATAATGACTAAAAAAGTCACTGAAAATGCCATTGGAAACTATAGCATCCGAAATGGCCGCCAGTTCTCGTTATATGATGGACACGACTGTTAAACACGACCTGGACACCAGTGTTGTCTTTCATGATGTAAGGGGACGAACCGNGTTAAACACGACCTGGACACCAGTGTTGTCTTTCATGATGTAAGGAGACGAACCGCTCTATGGGCTGGTTGAATCTGTGGCCTCAACCGGTCAAATTGAATATCTGTATTAACAAACTTGATGTAATTGGATGGCGAGGGTCTCACTTCACTAAAAATCCGAACTCGAGTTGGTTCTTGTGACTACACAAGTAATGCACAGGACTGATCGCTGACCACTGCATCATCGCTAACTGGTGTTGTGAACAGAAAGTAGAGGGCAGGCAGGAACGAGTAAGAAGGACACGAATAGATGGCAAACATTACACAGAGCGAGATGTGAATTACTAGACTGTACCTTTACCCAAGAGTGACCGTGCTAGCATTGTGAAGTCGTCCATTTCCTCCTGATGAACGGAATCAGTCTGAACCCCTTTGGAGCTACATATGCGTTTCTGAGTGAACCATACCGACTGCACGTCGTTCAAATTAGGCCGATAAATTCACTTCATAACACGGTTCGTACAAGGAACGAGATCCCGAGTTATTTAGGCGAGGGTAGAAGTACGCCGGATTGCACTAACAACGGTCTACAGGTGATTACATAGACTGACTGAGGTTACTTAATAGTAGCGAGAGTAGTATGAGGAATAAGTGTTCTATCATGACGGAAAACCTCGCACTACTTATATATCTCACAGGTTTTATATCCAAAAAGGGAAATTCTTCTTGAACCGGAATTCCACACCAGGCAACGCTACTATGGAACTTATGCAGATACTCACTGGTTTTTGCAGCCTGAAGAGGCATCATTCGGAATGTAGGGCAATCCTGCATCTTCCGAAAATCTGTAAAACAAAAGAGTTGAACAAAACTTTCCGCAATTCGAACAGCTACTGGCACAATTGACAGAAATAGTGAATGCAATTAGTTGCAACCATACTACGAGGACACCAATACATCTGAATGACGGAAAAGGCCAGGAAAATATCGGTCGTAGGTTCAGAGAATTGAAGCACCTATGGCTTCTGAAAAGCAAACAAGCTCCGAACTTCTATTGTTGCTAATTTTGAAGAAGTGAGAGTCGAGAGATGCCAGTCCACAATTTGGCAAAGAGAATGAAACCTACATCGTTGCTCTACATGAGGACACCCAAGGCAAACAAAACTTAAATAAAATGAAAACAAATGATGGTTCAGATGCCGGATCCAGTCGGTGCACAGCGAACATGCAACACGAGGTAGCCGCAAGGACCGAGATGCTGCCAAGTTAACCAGGTAGGTGGCTAGCTGAGCTATCTCGACCTCAGGAGAGAATGTGGAAACTCCTGAGGGAAAAGTGGTGAATTGAAATGCTAGCTGAGGACAAAGAAGATGGAATTCAGTAGGCATAGGGTCGGGAAAACGGGAAGAAGCGTGTCAAAAGGTCGTAGAAAGAACGACTCCTGGTTAGAGCAACAAAATTGGGGATAAAACTGAAAGTGGGATGGGAGTCTCATTCAGCGATAGACGTTATCTCCACATTACAAGTCATGACAGTTAATCATGTGCGAGAAAAAAAGGCTTCGGGATTTCACAAGAATGTGTTTTAAGCTGGCTTGCATCCAGTCCAAGGCTTGATGCGCTTATCAGAATATATCGATCCTCGCCACAAAAGGATTGTTTCATAACCGAAAAAAATATCGCTTAGTATATAGTGCTTTCCAAAACAGTTTAACTACGTAACACATGAGAACAAGATGGAGTACATTCAGTAGGGGTCAAAAGAACACAAGAAGCATGCACAGTAACCGTGTAGTTCAGAGAGGAGACACAAAGTACAAATCCAAGTCGAATGCAAAGGACTAAAGACAACCACAGTTTGAAAGAAGCATCGATTAAACCTAGAAGCTATTGTTTCAAACTTTCCAAAAAGAAGTGAATGGATGCAAAGTTTCTGTCCTGATGTATCACCAACCTAATATGCAAATATGGGTGAATTACACCAAATGCAAGGCAAATAAATAGTTATGGATTCAAGTTCCCTTCTTCAGACTACTTACGCTAACAAGCACTTAGGTAACTCACCGGTAGTAGACATACTGATTGGTCAGAAAACTAAATCCAACCATTGACACATGCGCGAAAAAGATAATTGCGAGTAATAAGCAGACTGTGCACGTTAGTGAATGTGCCACAGGTGTCCAGCCCATCTGTCATCTAACCGCACCGAGTAATAGCCCGAAGCTGAAAAGCAACGGTGGAGAAGTATAGAGAAAATTTGATGACCAGAGGGTGTCATGAATATTCTTTGTGCTCACATTATCGCCTTCGCCTTTATTTTCAGCTTATGTACATCCATTCTTAGACAAGTAAAGCGCTATTCTTTCTACGCCATTCATTCTTGTTCTCGCGCTCAATCAGAATCGATATTCTATCCGTAACAATTTACTTGTCCAAGAATACCATGGAACCGTTGCTGCGACCCAAGTGTTTCGACGCAGATCCTAATTCTCCAGACGCAACAACGCGTTGGAATCATTGGTTCCGAACCTTCCAAACGTTTCTGGGCACTGTCGAATCGCCCAATCTAAATAAACTCGAAACTCTGATCCATTTTGTGGATGCACCTGTATACGTTTATATCGCTGACTGTCCAGATTAC